CCCTGCCTCCTTTCCTCTCCCTGCCTCCTTTCCTCTCCCTGTCTCCTTATCCTTTCCCTGTCTCCTTTCATCTCCCTGCCGCCTTTCTCTCCTGCCTCTTTCCTTTCCCTGTTCTCCTTCCTCCCCTCTTCCTTTTCCTCTACTGTTCTTTCCTCTCCCTGTCTCCTTCTTCCCCTGTCTTCCTGTCCTTTCCCTGTCTTCCTTTCCTCTCCTGACTTTCATTTCCTCTCCAGGTGTCCCTTTCCTCTCCCTGCACTTCTTGGTTCTCTACTTTTGTTTTATATCGTTTTCTCTCTCTTCTCTTCTCTCTTTTTCTATTGCTCTTCTCTTCTCCTCGCTCTCTATCGTTTCTCGTTCTCGTCTCTCTCTCTCTCTCCTCTCTCTCTATTCTCTCTCTCTCTGTCTCTCTATCTTCTCTCTCTCTCTCTCTCTCTGTCTCTCTCTCTATCTCTCTCTCTATCTCTCTCTCTCTATCTCTCTCTCTCACATCTTTATGCACGTTCACCATTGTTTTTAGAGCGCACCAACAACACACACACACATAAACACACACACACACTGTCTCCCTCGCGCTACAGTTGAGCTCTAATATATTTGCACCCTTGCACGATTCACTATTTTTTCAACAATAATTTGAAATTGAAAAACATTTTGGTGTTCATAGGTGTGTTTGTTTGATTTGCAATTGAACAGGACCAAGAAAACAAATTGAAATAGATTTGTTTAACTTCAAAGTAAAAAATGGCCTGGACTAAATGGTTCAGATTATTACTATTATTATTAATTTGACTGATTTGGTTGGATGGTAACAATATATTAGACCTCAACTCTCTCTTGTTTCTCCCTCCCTCCCTCCCTCCCTCCCTCCCTCCCTCTCTCCAACCCCACCCTCTGGCAGAAGCAGGAAGTCCCTCCCTCTCCCACAAACTAACTTCTGAGGAAACGAAACTGATCTGAGTCTCACTGTCGTCTGTCTGTGTAAGAGTGAACAACAGTCCAAATGACTCAGCAGGGAGTTCTGCTGGACCAGGACCAGTTCTGTTGTTCTGTCTGTCTGGATCTACTAAAGGAGCCGGTGGTTATTCCTTGTGGACACAGTTACTGTAGAAGCTGTATTGAGGGCTACTGGGATCAGGATGATCAGGACATCTACAGCTGTCCTCAGTGCAAGCAGACCTTCACTCCGAGGCCTACTCTGAGGAAAAATAACATGTTGGCTGAGGTGGTGGAGAAACTGAAGAAGACAGGACTCCAGGCTGCTCCCCCTGCTCTGTTCTATGCTGGACCTGGAGATGTGGCGTGTGATTTCTGCACTGGGACCAGAAAGCAGAAAGCCCTCATGTCCTGTCTGGTGTGTCTGGTGTCTTACTGCGAGACTCACCTCCAACCTCACTATGAATCTCCTGGTTTCAAGAAGCACACATTGGTTAAAGCCACCACACAACTACAGGAGAAGATCTGTTCTCATCATGACAAACTGCTGGAGGTTTACTGTCGTACCGATCAACAGTGTATCTGTTATCAGTGTGTGATGGATGAACATAAAGGCCATGATACAGTGTCAGCTGCAGCAGAGAGGACTGAGAAACAGGTTAGACCAGAACAATTCTAAACATAGTTATTGAAGACACAGTAGTAAGGCTGTTTTAATAGGAGAGAGAAGAAGAAGCATAGTTCAAATAAACTGGATCCACAGCAGACGAAATACGAACATGAAACCTGAATTATCCAAATCTATTTAGCATTTGAAACACCATTATAATTCTGAATGCTCTTTTATCAGTCCAAAGTTCAGTCTCTCTAATACATGTTGTGTATTGTAAATACCATAATCATTCAATCAATTGTGTGCTGTGGTGACTGTGTAGTAATTGTGTGCTGTGGTGACTGTGTAGTAACTGTGTGCTGTGGTGACTGTGTAGTAACTGTGTGCTGTGGTGACTGTGTAGTAACTGTGTGCTGTGGTGACTGTGTAGTAACTGTGTGCTGTGGTGACTGTGTAGTAACTGTGTGCTGTGGTGACTGTGTAGTAACTGTGTGCTGTGGGGACTGTGTAGTAACTGTGTGCTGTGGGGACTGTGTAGTAACTGTGTGCTAGGTGATTGACAGGTGATGTAGGTGAGAACATAGTTTGGTTGAGTGGACTGGCCTTTTTAACAACCAACAATATAGATCATATACTTTTCCAAATTGACTTTCTCAAGATTTTCATCCCTACCCTCTATGTTACTTCACTATTGAACTATTGGACACATTAGAAAAAAAGTATGATGGGTCCGCACTCAAAAAGATGTTGCATAAAGCTTTACTTAATTTTTCTTTTTTCTTTTCACTGCATCAGGTATAACGTAGACAGACGTTTCAGCTTTTTAGCGTTCTTCAGTGTGTAGGTTTCCCTACAGGATTTACGCACCAACCAAACTTTTGGAGAGCGTAATGGTCCCCTTTTAATTAACTATTGGACACATGAAACTTGATAGCCCAATGAAGAGTGTTTCTCCACAGAGTCAGCTGGGGATGAGTCAGCAGAAGGTCCAGCAGAGAGTCCAGGAGAGAGAAAAGGTGCTGAAGGAGCTCCAACAGGCTGTGGAGTCTCTCAAGGTGAGTATTATTATTGACCAGAGGAGATGCACCATTTCACTTCCCTCCTCCAGTCAGCCAGTGAGGGAGAGAGAGAGGCCACTCTCCAATCAGACTGTCTGAGTCCCACTGTGGGGAATAGGCAGGGCCGGCACTAGGCATAAGAGACATAAGTGGTGGTGGCAGGTAGCTTAGTGGTTAAGAGCGTAGTGCCAGTAACCGAAAGGTCGCTGGTTCTAATCCCCGAGCCGACTAGGTGAAAAATCTGTTGATGTGCCCTTGAGCAAGGCACTTAACCCTAATTGCTCCTGTAAGTCGCTCTGGATAAGAGCGTCTGCTAAATGACTAAAATGTAATAAGTGGTTGCTTAGGGGCCGCAACCCTTCCCCCAAAAAAATGTTTTAGGGACTCAACTTACTGTTGAGAATTAGAATAGTGGAATACACAAGTTGCAATTTTGAAATGTGGTTGTGCATCAGCAGTTTTCCTCTTGTTATGTCAGTCACTGACAGTCACTCAATTAGCCCATGTCAGCAAAAATTTTTTGATTGGTAAGTTTGTGTAGCCAGCTATCTAAACTTGTAGTTATCATGGCCGAATTACCGATTGAGCGCGAAGGGCACGTGCCCATGGGCCCTGACCTTCAGGGGCCCCCATTGATTTTCACTCTCATGGTATAAGTCAAAATGTGTAGAATTTCAGGATATCAGCTTCAAACTGCAAAAATGTATTTCCACCCCATGCCAAAATGTGTAGAATTACATTCATTGTTTTATAAAATTGCAAAATGTTCTCTCCGACCCATGCTAAAATGTGTAGAATTACATTCATTGTTTTATAAAATTGCAAAATGTTCTCTCCGACCCATGCTAAAATGTGTAGAATTGCAGAAAACGTAGTTTAAAACTGAAAAAAAAATTATACGCCCCATGGCAAAATGTGTAGAATTACAGGAAATTAACTTAAAAAATGTAACATTTTCTCTCCGCCGTCAAGAGGGGGGCCACTAAAATGTTTTACCCACGAAGTGGGGGGACCCCCAAGCAAATCTCGCTTAGGGCCCCCAAAAGGCTAAGGCCATCCCTGGGAACAGGGCTCCTAGTTACAGAGAGGATAGACTGATAACATGGAGCCTTCACTCTTTTGTCCTCTTCTCTCTCTCTCTCTCTCTCTCTCTCTCTCTCTCTCTCTCTCTCTCTCTCTCTCTCTCTCTCTCTATCTCTCTCTCTCTCTTCTCTCTCTTTCTCTCTCTCCTCTCTCTCATCTCTCTCTCTCTCTCCTCTCTCTCTCTCTCTCTCTCTCTCTCTCTCTCTCTCTCTCTCTCTCTCTCTCTCTCTCTCTCTCTCTCTCTCTCTCTCTCTTTCTCTCTCTCTCTCTTTCCTAACAGCGCTCTTCAAATGCAGCAGTGGAGGACAGTGAGAGTATCTTTACTGAGCTGATCCACTCCATGGAGAGAAGGCGCTCTGAGGTGAAAGAGCTGATCAGAGCTCAGGAGAAGGCTGAAGTTAGTCGAGCTAAAGGACTCCTGGAGCAACTGGAGCAGGAGATAGCTGAGCTGAGGAGGAGAGCTGATAAGCTGGAGCAGCTCTCACACACAGAGGATCACATTCATTTCCTTCAGGTAACTATACTGTCTTGTTAGGCCTATGAATGATATTAAAATAAAGTTACAGTAATGTGAAACTCTCTCTCTCTCACTCATTCTCTCACTCATTCTCCCTCTCTTCCTCTCTCTCTCTCTCTCTCTCTCTCTCTCTCTCCAGAGTTATCAGTCTCTCTCCAGTCCCAGTGTATCTTCAGACTTACCCAGCATCGTTGTCTTTCCTCTTCAATACTTTGAAGATGTGAGTAAATCTGTGTCTGAGCTGAGAGAGAAAGTAGAAGACCTCCTTAAAGGAGAATGGACCAAGATCTCCATTATAGGTGGGTTGGAAATACTAAGGCTGCATTTACACAGGCGGCCCAATTCTGATCTTTTGCCTAATTATTGGTCTTTTGACCAATCAGATCAGATCTTTTGCCAGATCAGATCTTGGGCAAAAGATCAGAAGCCTAGACACATTTTTTCAGAAATATTCCTTATTTACATTTAAAATTCACATTCCCATGGCAACAAGTAGTATGTTTATTTATTCATACACAATTTATCTCTTCAATAAAACCAACTTCATACAGCCTGTGTAAACGAAGCCCATTACTTAAATACAAAAACTCTTAACTTTCCTAACTTTTGTGTGGACTATTTCTATCATGTTACTGCTGCTCACAAACCAAATTTCCCTCTGGGGACAATAAAGTTTGATGGATGATTATTTGATTGATTATAATAACATAAACTTATACTAAAAGGTCCTACAGCCATCAAATACAGCATCAAATTGTCATCCTGTGTCTTCCTGTCTCTCTGTCTCTTTCTAGGGATGGCCGATCGTAACAACCACAGCTCCCAGATGGGGTTGAGGAGGAGAAGGGCTGAGGAGGAGAAGAGGTCGTGCTGCTCTCTCTCTGAGCTGAAGAAAGTCCCTAAGTGTTACGTGGAGCTGGATCCACTGTCCTTCAGCAGAACTCACACCGTCCTCATAGATGTAAGACTCTCTGGCATCGCTCTGTCTGGTCTGAACGACTGTGTGTCTTTTTTTGTTTGTGATTATGGAGAGAATGAGGAGGAGGTAGATGTCTGAACAGCGCCTTCTTCACCACACTGCCTGTGTGGGTGAACCATTTCAGATTGATAGTAATGTGTATGCCGAGGAACTTGAAGCTTTTCACCTTCCCAACTGCATGCAGATTAAACAGTGCAGATTAATAAAAAAGCTTGCATCTAAAGCGACTGAGAGAGAACTGGAGTGTTGAAATCATTACATTCTATCACAGATCAGTTATGTCTCTCTCTACCTTCCCTATTCAGGTGAATGAGTTATGCCATAAAATGACATTGAAAGCTCAGCCTGGACAGCATGTGTGGAACAGGGACTTTGTTAAGATGCCCTGCTCACCAGAAAGCCACATCAAGACTGGATCGGTGGGTTCATTGATTCATTAGTTTATTGATTGATTGATTGATACATTATTTGTCGATTGACTGGTTCAATAGAATGGTTGATTGATTGGTTTGTTGGCTTAATGATTGATTTGTTAGTAGGTTGGTTAGTTGAGTGGTTAGTTGGTTGAGTAGTTAGTTGGTTGATTGGTAAGTTGGTTTATTGGTTAGTTGGTTGATTTGTTGATTTGTTAGTTGGTTGATTGGTTAGTTGGTTGATTGGTCAGTTGGTTGGTTGGTTGATTGATTCATTGATTGTTCCCAGTTAACCAGCTCTGAGGCAGGTCTGTGGGAGGTGGTCTCTAAACAGCTGGTGAGTCTGGCCAAGAAGACCACTGCATCAGTGGGTGACGTAGAGGTACACACACACACACAAACACACACACACACACACACACACACACAAACACACACACACCAAACACACACACACAAACACACACACACAAACACACACACACACTCACACACACAAACACACACACACAAACACACACACACACACACACACACACACACACACACTCATGCCCCTATTATCTTAACATTTCCTAACATGCCTCCTCATGTTAACTTGGGTTTGGGGTAACAGTTAAGGTAGAGGTTAGCATGTTTGACCAGTACTGTGTAACTATGATGTTCATGTGTCTCTCCACTTAGAAAGCCATAAAGAAATACAACCCAAAGTATGAAAACCAATGGTCCTTTGATGCCCTGCACACCTTTGTTCAGGTCAGTTATCAGTTCACTGTGAATGGTCAACTCTCTCTAATGGTGGTGTTATATAGACTGAACTAAAATATAAAAGCAACATGTAAAGTGTTGGTCCCATGTTTCATGAGCTGAAATAAAAGATCCCATACATTTTCCATATAGTTACATATATTCTCCTCTCCCTCTCTCCTCTAGTTTATAATGATATATATTCTCCTCTCCCTCTCTCCTCTAGTTTATAATGATATATATTTCCTCTCCCTCTCTCCTCTAGTTTATAATGATATATATTCTCCTCTCCCCTCTCCTCTAGTTTATAATGATATATATTCTCCTCTCCCCTCTCCCTCTAGTTTATAATGATATATATTCTCCTCTCCCTCTCTCCTCTAGTTTATAATGATATATATTCTCCTCTCCCTCTCTCCTCTAGTTTATAATGATATATATTCTCCTCTCCCTCTCTCCTCTAGTTTATAATGATATATATTCTCCTCTCCCTCTCTCCTCTAGTTTATAATGATATATATTCTCCTCTCCCTCTCCCTCTAGTTTATAATGATATATATTCTCCTCTTCCTCTCCCTCTAGTTTATAATGATATATATCTCTCTCCCTCTCTCCTCTAGTTTATAATGATAATATTCTCCTCTACCTCTCTCCTCTAGTTTATAATGATATATATTCTCTCTCCCTCTCTCCTTTAGTTTATAATGATATATTCTCCTCTCCCTCTCTCTTCTAGTTTATAATGATATATATTCTCCTCTTCCCCTCTCCTCTAGTTTATAATGATATATATTCTCCTCTTCCTCTCCCTCTAGTTTATAATGATATATATTCTCCTCTCCCTCTCTCCTTTAGTTTATAATGATATATATTCTCCTCTCCCTCTCTCCTCTAGTTTATAATGATATATATTCTCCTCTCCCTCTCTCCTCTAGTTTATAATGATATATATTCTCCTCTCCCTCTCTCCTTTAGTTTATAATGATATATATTCTCCTCTCCCTCTCTCCTCTAGTTTATAATGGATATATTCTCCTCTCCCTCTCTCCTCTAGTTTATAATGATATATATTCTCCTCTCCCTCTCTCCTCTAGTTTATAATGATATATATTCTCCTCTCCCTCTCTCCTCTAGTTTATAATGATATATATTCTCCTCTACCTCTCTCCTTTAGTTTATAATGATATATATTCTCCTCTCCCTCTCTCCTCTAGTTTATAATTATTATATTCTCCTCTCCCTCTCTCCTCTAGTTTATAATGATATATATTCTCTCTATCCTCTCCCTCTAGTTTTATAATGATATATATTCTCTTACCCTCTCTCCTCTAGTTTATAATGATATATATTCTCCTCCCCCTTCCTCTAGTTTATAATGATATATATTTCTCTCCCTCTCCCTACTAGTTTATAATGATATATATTCTCCTCTCCCTCTCTCCTCTAATTTATAATGATATAATTCTCCTCTCCTCTCTCCTCTAGTTTATAATGATATATATTCTCTCTCCCTCTCCTCTAGTTTATAATGATATATATTCTCTCTCCCTCTCTCCTCTAGTTTATAATGTATATATTCTCCCCTCCTCTCTTCTAGTTTATAAGATATATATTCTCTCTCCACTCTCTCTAGTTTATAATTATATATATTCTCCTCTCCTCTCTCCTCTAGTTATAATGATATATATTCTCCTCTCCCTCTCCTTAGTTATAATGATATATATCTCCTCTCCTCTTCCTCTAGTTTATAATGATATATATTCTCTCTCCCTCTCTCCTCTAGTTTATAATGATATATATTCTCCTCTCCCTCTCTCCTCTAGTTTATAATTATATATATTCTCCTCTCCCTCTCTCCTCTAGTTTTATAATGATATATATTCTCCTCTCCCTCTCCCTCTAGTTTATAATGATATATATTCTCCTCTCCCTCTCTCCTCTAGTTTATAATGATATATATTCTCCTCTCCCTCTCTCCTCTAGTTTATAATGATATATATTCTCCTCTCCCTCTCACCTCTAGTTTATAATTATATATATTCTCCTCTCCCACTCTCCTCTAGTTTATAATGATATATATTCTCCTCTCCCTCTCTCCTCTAGTTTATAATGATATACAGTGGGGGAAAAAAAGTATTTAGTCAGCCACCAATTGTGCAAGATGAGAGAGGCCTGTAATTTTCATCATAGTTACACGTCAACTATGACAGACAAAATTAGAATTTTTTATCCAGAAAATCACATTGTAGGATTTTTAATGAATTTATTTGCAAATTATGGTGGAAAATAAGTATTTGGTCAATAACAAAGTTTCTCAATACTTTGTTATATACCCTTTGTTGGCAATGACACAGGTCAAACGTTTTCTGTAAGTCTTCACAAGGTTTTAACACACTGTTGCTGGTATTTTGGCCCATTCCTCCATGCAGATCTCCTCTAGAGCAGTGATGTTTTGGGGCTGTCGCTGGGCAACACAGACTTTCAACTCCCTCCAAAGATTTTCTATGGGGTTGAGATCTGGAGACTGGCTAGGCCACTCCAGGACCTTGAAATGCTTCTTACGAAGCCACTCCTTCGTTGCCCGGGCGGTGTGTTTGGGATCATTGTCATGCTGAAAGACCCAGCCACGTTTCATCTTCAATGCCCTTGCTGATGGAAGGAGGTTTTCACTCAAAATCTCACGATACATGGCCCCATTCATTCTTTCCTTTACACAGATCAGTCGTCCTGGTCCCTTTGCAGAAAAACAGCCCCAAAGCATGATGTTTCCACCCCCATGCTTCACAGTAGGTATGGTGTTCTTTGGATGCAACTCAGCATTCTTTGTCCTCCAAACACGACGAGTTGAGTTTTTACCAAAAAGTTCTATTTTGGTTTCATCTGACCATATGATATTCTCCCAATCCTCTTCTGGATCATCCAAATGCACTCTAGCAAACTTCAGACGGGCCTGGACATGTACAGGGATTTGAGTCCCTGGCGGCGTAGTGTGTTACTGATGGTAGGCTTTGTTACTTTGGTCCCAGCTCTCTGCAGGTCATTCACTAGGTCCCCCCGTGTGGTTCTGGGATTTTTGCTCACCGTTCTTGTGATCATTTTGACCCCACGGGATGAGATCTTGCGTGGAGCCCCAGATCGAGGGAGATTATCAGTGGTCTTGTATGTCTTCCATTTCCTAATAATTGCTCCCACAGTTGATTTCTTCAAACCAAGCTGCTTACCTATTGCAGATTCAGTCTTCCCAGCCTGGTGCAGGTCTACAATTTTGTTTCTGGTGTCCTTTGACAGCTCTTTGGTCTTGGCCATAGTGGAGTTTGGAGTGTGACTGTTTGAGGTTGTGGACAGGTGTCTTTTATACTGATAACAAGTTCAAACAGGTGCCATTAATACAGGTAACGAGTGGAGGACAGAGGAGCCTCTTAAAGAAGAAGTTACAGGTCTGTGAGAGCCAGAAATCTTGCTTGCTTGTAGGTGACCAAATAATTATTTTCCACCACAATTTGCAAATAAATTCATTAAAAATCCTACAATGTGATTTTCTGAATTCTATTTTCATAGTTGACGTCTACCTATGATGAAAATTACAGGCCTCTCTCATCTTTGTGGGAGAACTTGAACAATTGGTGGCTGACTAAATACTTTTTCCCCCCACTGTATATTCTCCTCTCCCTCTCTCCTCTTGTTTATAATGATATATATTCTCCTCTCCCTCTCCCTCTAGTTTATAATGATATATATTCTCCTCTCCCTCTCTCCTCTAGTTTATAATGATATATATTCTCCTCTCCCTCTAGTTTATAATGATATATATTCTCCTCTCCCTCTCTCCTCTAGTTTATAATGATATATATTCTCCTCTCCCTCTCTCCTCTAGTTTATAATGATATATATTCTCCTCTCCCTCTCACCTCTAGTTTATAATGATATATATTCTCCTCTCCCTCTCTCCTCATAGTTTATAATGATATATATTCTCCCTCTCCCTCTCCTCTAGTTTATAATGATATATATTTTCCTCTCCCTCTCTCCTCTAGTTTATAATGATATATATCTCTCTCCCTCTCCCTCTAGTTTATAATGATATATATTCTCCTCTCCCTCTCTCCTCTAGTTTATAATGATATATATTCTCCTCTCCCTCTCTCCTTTAGTTTATAATGATATATATTCTCCTCTCCCTCTCTCCTCTAGTTTATAATGATATATATTCTCCTCTCCCTCTCCCTCTAGTTTATAATGATATATATTCTCCTCTCCCTCTCTCCTCTAGTTTATAATGATATATATTCTCCTCTCCCTCTCCCTCTAGTTTATAATGATATATATTCTCCTCTCCCTCTCTCCTCTAGTTTATAATGATATATATTCTCCTCTCCCTCTCACCTCTAGGAAGCGCCTAAAGAAGAGAACTACTACACATCTGTTTTTCCAAAGATAGCAGAGCTGGCCTCCAGACTGCCTCACTATATCAAGAAGGTAACAACATAGGAACTGCATTATGTACACTATGTAGGCTACAGAGGTAGTGTACTATGTAGGGTACAAATGTAGTGTAATATGTAGGGTACAGAGGTAGCGTACTATGTAGGGTACAAAGGTAGTGCACTATGAAGGGTACATAGGTAGTGTATTGTGTAGGGTACAGAGGTAGCGTACTATGTAGGGTAAAGAGGTAGTGCACTATGAAGGGTACATAGGTAGTGTATTGTGTAGGGTACAGAGGTAGCGTACTATGTAGGGTACAGAGGTAGTGCACTATGAAGGGTACATAGGTAGTGTATTGTGTAGGGTACAGAGGTAGCGTACTATGTAGGGTAGAGAGGTAGTGCACTATGAAGGGTACATAGGTAGTGTATTGTGTAGGGTACAGAGGTAGCGTACTATGTAGGGTACAGAGGTAGTGCACTATGAAGGGTACATAGGTAGTGTATTATGTAGGGTAGAGAGGTAGTGCACGATTTACATTTACATTTACGTCATTTAGCAGACGCTCTTATCCAGAACGACTTACAAATTGGTGCATTCACCTTATAGCCAGTGGGATAACCACTTTACAATGTTTTCTTTTTGGGGGGGTAAGGGGGGGGGGGGGGGGGGGGGGGGGGGGGGGGGGGGGGGTAGTAGAAGGATTACTTTATCCTATCCCAGGTATTCCTTAAAGAGGTGGGGTTTCAAATGTCTCCGGAAGGTGGTGAGTGACTCCGCTGTCCTGGCGTCGTGAGGGAGCTTGTTCCACCATTGGGGTGCCAGAGCAGCGAACAGTTTTGACTGGGCTGAGCGGGAACTGTGCTTCCGCAGAGGTAGGGGAGCCAGCAGGCCAGAGGTGGATGAACGCAATGCCCTCTTTTGGGTGTAGGGACTGATCAGAGCCTGAAGGTACGGAGGTGCCGTTCCCCTCACAGCTCCGTAGGCAAGCACCATGGTCTTGTAGCAGATGCGAGCTTCAACTGGAAGCCAGTGGAGTGTGCGGAGGAGCGGGGTGAGGTGAGAGAACTTGGGAAGGTTGAACACCAGACGGGCTGCGGCATTCTGGATGAGTTGTAGGGGTTTAATGGCACAGGCAGGGAGCCCAGCCAACAGCGAGTTGCAGTAATCCAGACGGGAGATTACAAGTGCCTGGATTAGGACCTGTGCCGCTTCCTGTGTAAGGCAGGGTCGTACTCTCTGAATGTTGTAGAGCATGAACCTACAGGATCGGGTCACCGCCTTGATGTTAGCGGAGAACGACAGGGTGTTGTCCAGGGTCATGACAAGGCTCTTCGCACTCTGGGAGGAGGAAACAACGGAGTTGTCAACCGTGATGGCGAGATCATGGAACGGGCAGTCCTTCCCCGGGAGGAAGAGCAGCTCCGTCTTGCCAAGGTTCAGCTTGAGGTGGTGATCCGTCATCCATACTGATATGTCTGCCAGACATGCAGAGATGCGATTCGCCACCTGGTTATCAGAAGGGGGAAAGGAGAAGATTAGTTGTGTGTCGTCTGCGTAGCAATGATAGGAGAGGCCATGTGAGGATATGACAGAGCCAAGTGACTTGGTGTATAGCAAGAATAGGAGAGGGCCTAGAACTGAGCCCTGGGGGACACCAGTGGTGAGAGCACGTGGTGCGGATACAGCTTCTCGCCACGCCACTTGGTAGGAGCGACCCGTCAGATAGAACGCAATCCAAGAGTGAGCCGTGCCGGAGATGCCCAGCTCGGAGAGGGTGGAGAGGAGGATCTGATGGTTCACAGTATCAAAAGCAGCAGACAGGTCTAGAAGGACAAGAGCAGAGGAGAGAGAGTTAGCTTTAGCAGTGCGGAGAGCCTCTGTGACACAGAGAAGAGCAGTCTCAGTTGAATGACCAGTCTTGAAACCTGACTGGTTTGGATCAAGAAGGTCTTTCTGAGAGAGATAGCAAGAGAGTTGGCTAAAGACGGCACGCTCAAGAGTTTTGGAGAGAAAAGAAAGAAGGGATACTGGTCTGTAGTTGTTGACATCAGAGGGATCGAGTGTTGGTTTTTTGAGAAGGGGTGCAACTCCGGCTCTCTTGAAGACAGAAGGTACATAGCCAGCGGTCAAGGATGAGTTGATCAGTGTTTTCTAGGAATAGACTAACTTAGTTTATTCAGCTAGCTAACTAGGTACAGTATTCTTCCGTGAAAATCGTCCAGGGCACCTAGTCATAAGACGCCACAGCCAGCTAGCATGCCGGACTCCAACAACACGGTTTAGCACCAATACTCGGCCACAACAAACCACCAGTGTGTCAACACGCCAAGCAGATCGTTCATGTCCATGTCTAACGTTGTGGGTTAGTCCCGACAGCTTGAGCGAGTCCGTCGTCAACTTATTCAGCCAGTTAGTTAGCTAGAATAGTTAGCATACTGTCACGATCGTCTACCAATGAGGAAGCGGACCAAAGCGCAGCGTTGCGAGTGAACATAATTTATTAATAAACGTACTCACGAAAACAAAACAAAAGACATTACGTGAAGTTCTCAAGTTACAAATCACTGACATACGGAACATGTAACCAAGAAACAAAAACCCACAAACCCCACAGGAAAACATACAGAATAAATATGGCTCCCAATCAGAGATAACGAGCCGAACAGCTGACACTCGTTACCTCCGATTGGGAGTCATTGAACAAACCTAGAAAAACAACAACCTAGACACCCAACCTAGAACATAAACACATAGACTGCACACACCCTGGATAAACAATAATGAGTCCCAGCACCAGGGTGTGACAGTACCCCCCCCCTAAAGGCGCGGACTGCGACCGCGCCTCAAAACCCCCAAACAGGGGAGGGCTGGGCGGGGCATACCTCCTCGGTGGCGGTTCTGGCTCCGGCCTAGACCACCACCCCACCATAGTCACTTCCCGCTTATGTAGCCTCCTCCAAATGACCCCCACCGGTTTAAGGGGCAGCACCTGACTAAGGGGCAGTACCGGACTAAGGGGCAGTACCGGACTAAGGGGCAGTACCAGGCTGAATGGCGAATCCTGGCTGGTCGGCTCTGGCGGATCCCGGCTGGACGGCTCTGGCGGATCCCGGCTGGACGGCTCCTGGCGGATCCCGGCTGGACGGCTCTGGCGGATCCCGGCTGGACGGCTCTGGCGGATCCCGGCTGGACGGCTCTGGCTGATCCTGTCTGGCGGAAGGCTCTGGCTGATCCTGTCTGGCGGAAGGCTCTGGGCTGATCCTGTCTGGCGGAAGGCTCTGGCTGATCCTGTCTGGCGGAAGGCTCTGGCTGCTCCTGTCTGGCGGAGAGCTCTAGCGGCTCCGGTCTGGCGGACGGCTCTGTAGGCTCATGGCAGACGGGCGGCTTTGCAGGCTCATGGCAGACGGGCAGCTCCTGCGGCGCTTGGCAGACGGACAGTTCAGACGGCGTTGGGCAGACGGGCAGTTCAGGCGCCGTTGGGCAGACGGGCAGTTCAGACGGCGTTGGGCAGACGGACAGTTTCAGGCCCCGTTGGGCAGACGGCAGACTCTGGCCGTCTGAGGCGCATCGTAGGCTGGTGCGTGGTGCCGGAACAGGAGGTACCCGGGCTGAGGATACGCATCTCAGGGCTAGTGCGGGGAGAAGCAACAGGGCATGCAGGACCCTGGGGACGCACATAAGTCCTAGTGCGTGGTGCCGGAACTGGTGGTCCCGGGCTGAGGACACGCATCTCAGGGCTAGTGCGGGAGCAGCAACAGGGCATGCAGGACCCTGGGGACGCACATAAGTCCTAGTGCGTGGTGCCGGAACTGGTGGTCCCGGGCTGAGGACACGCATCTCAGGGCTAGTGCGGGGATCAGCAACAGGACGCACAGGACTCTGGGAACACACAGGAGGCTCGGTGCGTGGTGTAGGCACTGGTGGTACTGGGCTGGAGCGGGGAGGTGGCGCCGGAAATACCGGACCGTGCAGGCGTACTGGCTCCCTTGAGCACTGAGCCTGCCCAACCCTACCTGGTTGTATGCTCCCCGTCGCCCGACCAGTACGGGAAGGAGGAATAACCCGCACCGGGCTATGTGGGCGAACCGGGGAAACCATACGTAGGGCTGGTGCCATGTAAGCCGGCCCGAGGAGACGCATTGGTGGCCTGCTGCGTGGGGCCGGCCTCATGACATCCGGCTCAACACTCAATCTAGCCCGGCCGATACGAGGAGCTGGAATGTACCGCACCGGGCTATGCCTGCGTACAGGAGACACCATGCGCTCTACTGCGTAACATGGTGTCTGCCCGTACTCCCGCTCTCCACGGTCAGTCCAGGGAGTAGGCGCAGGTCTCCTACCTGCCTTCGCCACACTCCCTTTTAGCCCCCCCCAAGAAATTTTTGGGGAGTAACCACGGGCTTCCAGCCTCGACTCCGCGCTGCCTCCTCATACCACCTCCTCTCGGCTGCAGCTGCCTCCAGCTCTTCACGAGGGCGGTGGGTACTCCTCTGGTTGTGCCCAAGGACCCTTTCCAGCCCGTATCTCCTCCCATGTCCAAAAGTCCTTAGGAGGCTCCCATAAATCCTGCGTAGGTAGGTCCTGTTGCCGCTTGTTACGCCGCTTGGTCCTCTTGTGGTGGGGTTTTTTCTGTCACGATCGTCTACCAATGAGGAAGCGGACCAAAGCGCAGCGTTGCGAGTGAACATAATTTATTAATAAACGTACTCACGAAAACAAAACAAAAGACATTACGTGAAGTTCTCAAGTTACAAATCACTGACATACGGAACATGTAACCAAGAAACAAAAACCCACAAACCCCACAGGAAAACATACAGAATAAATATGGCTCCCAATCAGAGATAACGAGCCGAACAGCTGACACTCGTTACCTCCGATTGGGAGTCATTGAACAAACCTAGAAAAACAACAACCTAGACACCCAACCTAGAACATAAACACATAGACTGCACACACCCTGGATAAACAATAATGAGTCCCAGCACCAGGGTGTGACACATACTAGCTAGCCATTGCTTTCAGACAAAGAAGAAACCCCTCCTTTCACGGCACGAACACACAGAGAGAGCCAAGCTAACGTTAACTAGTCACCCATGTCCCGAATTCCTTGAACGACTCTGGCTACCAATATGTAAAAACAAAACACAAATGTATGTTATGACTTACCCCTAGCAGCTACTGTTAGCTAGCCAAGTGCAAAGCTAGCCACTGAATTGACTCAGCCAGTTCGCGTCTGTTCGCTAGGTCGTTCCAGCTATTGTTTACTAGTAGCTATCCAGGTAGCAACAAGCTAGCTAAATTTCAAGCACAGTAGCCACTTACTACCTAACATTAACGGTTCAGACAATGAGGTTAGAAAACAGCTGAATGGTAGGCAATTATTGTATGTAATTATTGTAGGCAGCCAGCTGGCGTAATTACAGGCACTCTCAGGCGTGAAACAACCATACCGTTGCTAATAGTTGCCAGTAGCTACCCACCAGCTAGTCCAGGTAGTGGGTTAGCTAGCTAGCGTCGTGCTTCACTGGGCTCTGCCGAATACAATACTAACCTACAATAATTACATACAACAACCCACGATAACTACCTACAATACCTAACTACAATCTAAATACATAGTTTAAGCCTTACTCGACAAAGCCCAAACTATGTATAAAGCCAAGCTTGCCCGACGACCTCACCCGACAACCTCCTCCTGCTACAGTTGTGTTGTGATATAGGGTACAGCGGTAGTCTACTATGTAGGGTACAGAGATAGTGTACTGTGTAGGGTACAGAGGTGGTGCACTAGGCTACAGAGGTAGTTTACTATGTAAGGTACAGAGGTAATGTACAATGTAGGGTACAGAGGGGGTTAACTATGTACGGTATAGAAGTAGTTCAATAAGGGACAGAGGTAGTGCACTAGGTAGGGTACTGAGGTAGTGTATTATGTAGGGTACAGAGGTAGTGTACTATGTAGGGTACAGAGGTAGTGTACTATGTAGGGTACAGAGGTAGTGTACTATGAAGTGTACATAGGTAGTGCACTAGTGTACAGAGGTAGTAGCACAGCGCTTGTAACGCCAAGGTAGTGGGTTCGATCCCCGGGACCACCCATACACAAAAAAAAATATGCACGCATGACTGTAAGTCGCTTTGGATAAAAAGCGTCTGCTAAATGGCATATTATTATTATTATGTAGGGTACAGAGGTAGTGCACTAGGGTACAGAGGTAGTGTACTATGTAGGGTACAGAGGGGGTTTATTATGTACGGTATAGAAGTAGTGCACTAATGTACAGAGGTAGTGAAATATGTAGGGTACAGAGGTAGTGCACTAGGGTACAGATATAGTGTATTATGTAGGGTACAGAGGTAGTGTACTATGTAGGGTACAGAGGTAGTATACTGTGTAGGGTACAGAGGTAGTGTACTTTGTAGGGTACAGAGGTAGTGTACTAGAAGGTACAGAGGTAGTGCACTATGAAGGGTACAGAGTTAGTGTACTATTAGGGTTTACAGCGGTAGTCTACTATGTAGGGTACAGGGGGTAGTGTAATATGTATGGTATGGAGGTTTAGTGTAAATGTATGGTATAGAGGTAGTGTAATGTATGGTATAGAGGTAGTGTAATATGTATGGTATAGAGGTAGTGTATATGTAGGGGTATGGAGGTAGTGTAATATGTTTTTATAGGGTAGTGTAATATGTTGGTATAGGGGTGTATTGTATGGTATAGAGGTAGTGTTTGTATGGATAGAGGTAGTGTAATATGTATGGTATGGAGGTGTGTAAATGTAGGGTTATGGGTTTAGTGTACTGTGTAGGGACAGAGGTAGTGTATATGTATGGTGGGGAGGTGGTAGTGGATATGTATGGTATAGAGGTATTTGTAAATGTTGGTATGGAGGTAGTGTAATATGTATGGTATAGAGGTAGTGTAATATGTATGGATAGAGGTGGGTGTAATAGGGGTTATAGGGTAGTGAAATATGTATGGTTAGAGGTAGTGTAATATGTATGGTATGGAGGTAGTGTATATGTTGGTTGGAGGGTAGTGTAATTGTAGGGTTATAGAGGTAGTGTATATGTTGGTAGGGAGGTGTGTAATATGTTGGTATAGAGGTAGTGTATATGTTGGTATAAGGTATTTTGTCTGTTGTAGGGACAGAGGTAGTGTATATGTATGGTTTATGAGGTAGTGTAATCTGTAGGGGAGGGAGGTGTGTAATATGTTGGTATAAGGTTGTGTAATATGTATGGTATGAGGTGTGTACGTGTCGGCCCGAGGTTAGTGTAATATATATGGTTAGAGGTAGGTATATGTATGGTTTTTGGGGTTTAGGTGTAATATGTAGGGTTAAGAGGTAGTGTAATATGTATGGTATAGAGGTGTGTAATATGTATGGGTATAGAGGTAGTGTAATATGTATGGTATGAGGTAGTGTAATATGTATGGTAGGGTAGTGTAATATGTATGGATAGAGGTGTGTAATATGTATGGTATAGAGGTAGGTAATATGTTGGTTTAGAGGTAGTGTATATGTATGGTAGGAGGTTAGTGTATATGTATGGTATAGAGGTAGTGTAATGTGTAGGGACAGGGTAGGGTTTAGGTTATAGGATGGTTGAGTGTGTAATTGTTGGTATGAGGGTAAGTGTATGGGGTTTTGGGTTAGAGGTATTTGTAATTGTAGGTAAGGGGGTTAGGTTGTATTGGGTATGGTATGGAGGTAGTGTAATAGGTTGGTTGGAGGTGTGTTAAATGTATGGTATAGAGGTAGTGTAATATGTATGGTAGGGGAGGTAGTGTATTGTTGGTATGAGGTAGTGTAATTGTATGGTATAGGGTAGTGTCTGTGTGGGACCGGGTAGTGTAATATGTATGGTTAGAGGTAGTGTAATTGTTGGTATGGACGGTAGTGTAATTGTATGGTTGAGGTAGTGTAATATGTATGGTATAGAGGTGTGTACTGTGTAGGGACAGAGGTAGTGTAATAAAATGGTATAGAGTAGTGTAATATGTATGGTATGGAGGTAGTGTAATTAGGGTTTATAGAGGTGTGTAATATGTATGGTATGGGGGTAGTGTAATATGTATGGTTAGAGGTTTTGTATATGTATGGTATAGAGGAGTGTATATGTTGGTATGGGGTAGTGTAATATGTTGGTATAGGTAGGTCTGTGTCGGGACAGAGGTAGGTGTGTATAGGTTGGGTATAAGTAGTGTATATGTATGGTTAGAGGTAGTTGTAATAGGGTATGGTATAGAGGTAGTGTATATTGTTGGTATGCGGTAGTGTAATATGTATGGGTATAGAGGTGTGTAATATGTTAGGTTTTGGGGTAGTTTTAATATGTATGGTTTTAGAGGTAGGTTGTAATATGTATGGATAGAGGTAGTGTAATATGTATGGTTAGAGGTAGTGTAATGTGTATGGATAGAGGTAGTGTATATGTATGGTATAGAGGTAGTGTAATATGTATGGTATAGAGGTAGTGTAATATGTATGGTATAGAGGTAGTGTAATATGTATGGTATAGAGGTAGTGTACTGTGTAGGGACAGAGGTAGTGTAATATGTATGGTATAGAGGTAGTGTAATTTGTAAGGTACAGAGGTAGTGTACTATGTAGGGTCCAGAGGTAGAGTACTATGTAGGGTACAGAGATAGTGTACTATGTAGGGTACAGAGATAGTGTACTATGTAGGGTCCAGAGGTAGAGTATTATATAGGGTCCAGAGGTAGTGTACTATATAGGGTACAGAGGTAGTGTACTATGTAGGGTACAGAGGTAGTGCACTAGGGTACAGAGGTAGTGTACTATGTAGGGTACAGAGGTAGTGCACTAGGGTACAGAGGTAGTGTACTATGTAGGGTACAGAGGTAGTGCACTAGGGTACAGAGGTAGTGTACTATGTAGGGTACAGTTTGTAAAGGTACTGTATGTGTGTTGTCTGTCTGTCTGTCTGTCTGTGTGTGTGTCTAACTGTGTGTAGGCCATTCCCCTGCTCCAGAGAGGCCAGACTCATTCCATCACGTTGTCCCAGAGTCAGATAGCTTGTCTGCTGGCCAATGCCTTCTACTGCACCTTCCCCCACCGCAACTCCCCCAACCCCAGAGCAGAGTACAACAACTACCCCACCATCAACTTTAACAGGTCAGAATACACACAACAAACTCCACTGAGGACCCACACACATAGAGACAAACACTAAGTATTCCAACTTCAACAGATGATAACATGTGACCACTGTATCTCTCTGTGTTGTCAGTCTGTTTGGAAAGTGGTCTGAGAGGAAGAGAGAGAAGCTGAGAGCCATCCTTCATTACTTCCACACTGTCACAGACCAAGGTAAGTTACTACCACACACTACTATAGTCACTATAATGACTGGAATACAAGTACTGTAGTGTACTTTAGGGTACTATGTAGGTTACAGGAACCTATTTAAGACATAGTCTGATGAGTGTAGATGAGGAATACCCTCTGATAATAGTTGCTGTGGGAACCAGGTTTACCTGAGCTTTGACCCTTGTTGTTGCCATGACAGCGACCAGGCCCATTGGACTGGTGACCTTTGAGAGGCGCTACATCAGCGACAGAGACATGCCCAACTGGAGGAGGTACACACACACACAGACACACACACACACACACACACACACACACACAGACCAACTTAATTTGTCTCCTCTTCTATTTCTCTGTGTGTCAGTTGTAAGGAGACTGTTCCTAAACTCCACGTCACCTCAGCAGACTGCATAGAGGAACAGGGAACAGGGATGCTACAGGTTGGTGACAGCTCCAGGCTTGTGTATGTATGTGTGTGTGTGTGTGTGTGTGTGTGTGTGTGTGTGTGTGTGTGTGTGTGTGTGTGTGTGTGTGTGTGTGTGTGTGTGTGTGTGTGTGTGTGTGTGTGTGTGTATGTATGTATGGCTGTATGTATGTGTGTGTGTATGTTGCAGGTGTAGATATATGGCTCTGGTGTGTGTGTGTGTGTGTGTGTGTGTGTGTGTGTGTGTGTGTGTGTGTGTGTGTGTGTGTGTGTGTGTGTGTGTGTGTGTGTGTGTGTGTGTGTGTGTGTGTGTGTGTGTGTGTGTGTGTGTGTGTGTATGTATGTACAGTGAGGGAAAAAAGTATTTGATCCCCTGCTGATTTTGTGCGTTTGCCCACTGACAAAGACATGATCAGTCTATCATTTTAATGGTAGGTTTATTTGAACAGTGAGAGACAGAATAACAACAAAAAAATCCAGAAAAACGCATGTCAAAAATGTTATGAATTGATTTGCATTTTAATGAGGGAAATAAGTATTTGACCCCTCTGCAAAACATGACTTAGTACTTGGTGGCAAAACCCTGGTTGGCAATCACAGAGGTCAGACGTTTCTTGTAGTTGGCCACCAGGTTTGCACACATCTCAGGAGGGATTTTGTTCCACTCCTCTTTGCAGATCTTCTCCAAGTCATTAAAGGTTTCGAGGCTGACGTTTGGCACTCGAACCTTCAGATCCCTCCACAGATTTTCTATGGGATTAAGGTCTGGAGACTGGTTAGGCCACTCCAGGACCTTAATGTGCTTCTTCTTGAGCCACTCCTTTGTTGCCTTGGCCGTGTGTTTTGAGTCATTGTCATGCTGGAATACCCATCCACGACCCATTTTCAATGCCCTGGCTGAGGGAAGGAGGTTCTCACCCAAGATTTGACGGTACATGGCCCCGTCCATCGTCCCTTTGATGCAGTGAAGTTGTCCTGTCCCCTTAGCAGAAAAACACCCCCAAAGCATAATATTTCCACCTCCATGTTTGACAGTGGGGATGGTGTTCTTGGGGTCATTCCTCCTCCTCCAAACACGGCTAGTTGAGTTGATGCCAAAGAGCTCGATTTTGGTCTCATCTGACCACAACACTTTCACCCAGTTCTCCTCCGAATCATTCAGATGTTCATTGGCAAACTTCAGACGGGCCTGTATATGTGCTTTCTTGAGCAGGGGGACCTTGAGGGCGATGCAGGATTTCAGTCCTTCACGGCGTAATGTGTTACCAATTGTTTTCTTGGTGACTATGGTCCCTAAGTCCTCTCACGTCACCCCGCTCCTCCGCACACTCCACTGGCTTCCAGTTGAAGTTCGCATCTACTACAAGACCATGGTGCTTGCCTACGGAGCTGTGAGGGGAACGGCACCTCCGTACCTTCAGGCTCTGATCAGTCCCTACACCCAAACGAGGGCATTGCGTTCATCCACCTCTGGCCTGCTGGCTCCCCTACCTCTCCGGAAGCATAGTTCCCGCTCAGCCCAGTCAAAACTGTTCGCTGCTCTGGCACCCCAATGGTGGAACAAGCTCCCTCAAGACGCCAGGACAGCGGAGTCACTCACCACCTTCCGGAGACATTTGAAACCCCACCTCTTTAAGGAATACCTGGTATAGGATAAAGTAATCCTTCTACCCCCCCCTTACCCCAACCCACCCCCCCCCACCAAAAAAAAAAAAAAGTTATAGCCAGTGGTTATCCCACTGGCTATAAGGTGAATGCACCAATTTGTAAGTCGCTCTGGATAAGAGCGTCTGCTAAATGACGTAAATGTAAATGTAACTGTCCCAGCTGCCTTGAGATCATTGACAAGATCCTCCCGTGTAGTTCTGGGCTGATTCATCACCGTTCTCATGATCATTGCAACTCCACGAGGTGAGATCTTGCATGGAGCCCCAGGCCGAGGGAGATTGACAGTTATTTTGTGTTTCTTCCATTTGCGAATAATCGCACCAACTGTTGTCACCTTCTCACCAAGCTGCTTGGCGATGGTCTTGTAGCCCATTCCAGCCTTGTGTAGGTCTACAATCTGGTCCCTGACATCCTTGGAGAGCTCTTTGGTCTTGGCCATGGTGGAGAGTTTGGAATCTGATTGATTGATTGCTTCTGTGGACAGGTGTCTTTTATACAGGTAACAAACTGTGATTAGGAGCACTCCCTTTAAGAGTGTGCTCCTAATCTCAGCTCGTTACCTGTATAAAAGACACCTGGGAGCCAGAAATCTTTCTGATTGAGAGGGGGTCAAATACTTATTTCCCTCATTAAAATGCAAATCAATGTGTAACATTTTTTACATGCGTTTTTCTGGATTTTTTTGTTGTTATTCTGTTTCTCACTGTTCAAATAAACCTACCATTAAAATTATTGACTGATCATTTCTTTGTCAGTGGGCAAACTTACAAAATCAGCAGGGGATCAAATACTTTTTTCCCTCACTGTATGTATGTGTGTATGTATGTGTGTGTGTATGTTGCAGGTGTAAATATATGGCTCTGGTGTGTGTGTGTGTGTGTGTGTGTGTGTGTGTGTGTGTGTGTGTGTGTGTGTGTGTGTGTGTGTGTGTGTGTGTGTGTGTGTGTGTGTGTGTGTGTGTGTGTGTGTGTGTGTGTGTGTGTGTGTGTGTGTGTGTGTGTGTGTGTAATGCTGTATGTGTGTATGTTTGTTAATTTTCTGAGTATGTAACACTAAGTGTGTGTGTGTTGCAGGTGGACTTTGCCTGTAACATGATAGGAGGTGGAGTGTTGGGCTCAGGTCTGGTTCAAGAGGAGATTCTGTTCCTGATGAACCCAGAACTCATCGTATCTCGGCTCTTCACTGAGAGACTAGGAGACAACGAGTGTCTCTTCATCACAGGTGTGTGTGTGTGATTGATCACAGGTTATACCTACCACCCTTTATAACCCCTCTCTCTCTGTCATGTCTTCTCTCTCTCTCTCTCTCTCTCTCTCTCTCTCTCTCTCTCTCTCTCTCTCTCTCTCTCTCTCTCTCTCTCTCTCTCTCTCTGTAGGCTCTCAACAGTTCAGTCAGTACAGTGGCTACAGCGACTCTTTTAAGTGGAAAGGGCCTCACAGAGACAACATTGAGAGGTGAGCACACACTCACACACACACACACACACACACACACACACACACACTCACACACACTCACACACACACACTCACTAAAATCCCTGATTGCGCTGCCTGTGTTTGCAGGGATGAATGGCAGAGGCTACACAGGCAGATTGTAGCCATGGATGCTCTCCACTTCAGACACCAGAGAGAACAGTACAACATGAGACAGGTCACCAGGGAACTCAACAAGGTGAGAGACAACCCTCCTCTCCTGTAGGGGACAGACTGCAGCTGATTAGTAGAATCAGGTGTGCTAGCTAGAGCAGGGCTGGAGATAAATCTGATGTCGGTGGTCTCCTGTGATATCCTCCCTCAGGCGTACTGTGGCTTTAAGGCAGGTGACAACACTCACCCAGACCTCCTTCCTGACATCGCCAGAGCCTTCAATGGAGACCCCAAACTTAAAGGTAGCCCTAACTGTTAACCCTAACCCTTGACCCTTAACTTAAAGGTAGCCATTAGATTAACAGTACCACAGGCCTACTATATGGGTCTATGTAGCTCTCTGTTTAAAACTGACAATGATTCTGTGATCTGATTGGTTGTTTTTCCGCTCCCAGCTCTGATCCAGCTGATGGCTGCAGCTAGGGCCCAGAGGGGCGTGGCCGTCTTCACCTTGAAGAACTTCAGCTTGGAGAGAGAGCTGCAGAACATGCACCACCTACTGGTCACACACAGAACTACAGTGGGTGAGTTAGTACACACAGAACTACAGTGGGTGAGTTAGTACAGACATAACTACAGTGGGTGAGTTACCATAGTACAGACTCAGAACTACAGTAGATGATTTACCATAGATAGCAGACACACAGGACTACAGTGGGTGAGTTATTACACACAGAACTACAGTAGGTGAGTTAGTACATACAGAACTACAGTGGGTGAGTTCCATAGATAGCAGACATACATAACTACAGTAGGTGAGTAACTACAGTAACTATTAGACTACAGGAGGTGAAACCTGATCTGAAAGTCCTCCTTCCCTTCACTGTGTTTAGTCAAACCTCATATCCTCCTAGTGGCTGTGTAAATGAAGTTTGATTGATTGATGCCTCTCCCCTGTCTCAGGTAAACTGTATGAGTTGCTGGATGACTACTGTGCTGTGATACAGTTGGCTCACACACACGTGGACCTGTTTGACTGGATCAGGAACACCCTGGAACACAGGAGTCAGCTGTGAGGACACATCTCAATACTCTAAAGGAGCTTCCTTTCCTTGTCTCCTTTCCTTTTTAGCATTATTGAGATGCACCCCAGAGATAGAGTGGCTCTATGAATGATCTGTGGATAGAAACATGGTACAATTCCAAGTAGTGGTTGATTATGAATGTGTTTGTCTTTTCACTACTACACTGTTCCTAAATCAAACTAATAAAGTATACAGGGCTTTCTAACTGCTGCACACAGAATAAAATGATGTCAGCTAAATCAGAGGTCCTGCTATTTGATGTACCCCCTTGATGATAGCCAACAACTTAACCAGCATTATGCACATGAAGTGTAGTGTAAAATACTCTAGAATTATTATTTATTCTTTAAAAATGATGAATAGATTCCTCTTTATAATCCAGTAATAAATTCCTCTTTATTATCCAGTAATAAATTCCTCTTTATAATCCAGTAATAAATTCCTCTTTATAATCCAGTGACTTCACTGTTCGTTTTGGGGCTGTATTGAGCATTGTGGCTGTATTGTGGCTGACACAAACACACACACACACACACACACACACACAATATCTCCCTCTCTCTCACACACACACACACAATATCTCCCTCTCTCTCACACACACACACACACAATATTTCTCTCTCTCACACACACACACACACACAAACACAATATCTCTCTCTCTCTCTCTCTCTCTCTCTCTCTCTCTCTCTCTCTCTCTCTCTCTCTCTCTCTCTCTCTCTCTCTCTCTCTCTCTCTCTCACACAGAAAAAAGAGGGTAACATGAACTTAGTTCGGCTGTACTGCCCTCCATTCTCCTTCTTAAGGTGAAGTGAGACGAAAGTCCAAGAACAAACCTTTCACCGATGTTCTTCTTCCCTGTATGAACCTGACATGTTTTTCCACATTGTATTGATGACACCACCGTGGCACCCGCATATGAAAAAATATTTTAATTATCATATCTGTGCCTTTTTAGTGCATAGGTTTTGGGGAATTAACCTGTTTGTTTGTTTGTGTCTGTTTGTATCACCAGAGGAGAACATACTGAATATAAATCACAGAGAGAGAGAGTGTAAGGAGTGTGTGTGTGTGTGTGTGTGTGTGTGTGTGTGTGTGTGTGTGTGTGTGTGTGTGTGTGTGTGTGTGTGTGTGTGTGTGTGTGTGTGTGTGTGTGTGTGTGTGTGTGTGTGTGTGTGTGTGTGTGTGTGTGTGTGCGCGCACGCATGCAAAAAAAAGCAAAGTCACTCTAACAGTGTAACCAAGGACATAGACTGTTTAATCAATCAGCATTATGATAACCCCTGACCCCTACAGATGCTAGGCTAGCAGCTGTATGTAGTTCTGTTACAAAACCCTTATTTGGTCATATTAATCCGTTTTCAATACAAATATTAAAATGTATATACGTATATAGTAGAGTAAAAATACACATTTACATCATCTGCCACTAAACTGGGCTGTTGTTGACCGATCCCGATTTTCAGCTATTGGAACATTTAGTGACAGGAGTAGATTTGATTGAACACACAACGTTGTCAGGTTTAGAAGAAGTGGTGATGCCTGTTCTCTGGGATTATATTGTAAATGTTTTTTTTTTTAAGGAGATGGCAGGATAGGAACAGAAGGAGGGAGATGAAGTAGAGTTTATTTAAGGAGAACAGAAATCTGAACTCCTTTTGTATTTATGTACGGCTGATACCCCATTTCATGGGTGCACACTCTATAGGTAAGCATGTACAGTCCAATATGAATGTTCAAAACGCACAATAGATTGACTGGGGAGGTGATTTCCCACAGCCAAAGTTCTGCAATAAGAGCTATGGTGTTAATATTTGTGTAGATTCTTTGGAATTGTAATCTGTGGGTGTCACTCAGTAGACTGATACCCCATTTCATTCTTGCACACTCCATAGGTAAGGCTATACAGTGCATATATGTATGGCCCCAATGCAATTATGTATTCTAATAAATCCACAGTGTGATTTGCAAAGTTTGTTTTACTGTTTATAGTCAAATAAATTAATTATTGTATTTATTTTAAGTTATATAACAACATTCCAACCAGCATTATCTAGTCCAGATATGTCATTTTTCCAGTATTTGTATCCGTTTGGATCAGTTTCAATGGGGGACTTTTATTTGAAGGCGAACCGCGTAGTCCAATATTGTGGCTCTCTTCACACAGGCCTCTCTCTCCTTACTCACAAAAATGGCTGTTTGCACATCTACAAATATTTTTGTCATGCCAGGGTGCTAAAGCACTGCCAAAAGTCTGAGCGCCCGAAATTGACATGCGCAAGTGTACAGAGGCAATTATTGCTTACAAATATTAAGATACAAGTTTGCGAATGCGATTACAACTACAATTGTGCTTTTTTTCATGTTCACAACTCATCAGTTACATATTTGAGAATATGTTTACAACTACAGATTATTCTTTCATGTTCAAAAGTCATCCACTACGCGCTTGCAAATTGTGTTTACAACAACAAATCTATTCTACATGCTCAAATCTTTACATCAGGGATTGACCATCATACAATTTCACCTCATTTCTATGGGGTTGTGTGTGTGTGTGTGTGTGTGTGTGTGTGTGTGTGTGTGTGTGTGTGTGTGTGTGTGTGTGTGTGTGTGTGTGTGTGTGTGTGTGTGTGTGTGTGTGTGTGTGTGTGTGTGTGTGTGTGTGTGTGTGTGTGTGTGTGTGTGTGTGTGTGTGTGTGTGTGTGTGTGTGTGTGTGTGTGTGTGTGCGCGCACGCATGCAAAAAAAAGCAAAGTCACTCTAACAGTGTAACCAAGGACATAGACTGTTTAATCAATCAGCATTATGATAACCCCTGACCCCTACAGATGCTAGGCTAGCAGCTGTATGTAGTTCTGTTACAAAACCCTTATTTGGTCATATTAATCCGTTTTCAATACAAATATTAAAATGTATATACGTATATAGTAGAGTAAAAATACACATTTACATCATCTGCCACTAAACTGGGCTGTTGTTGACCGATCCCGATTTTCAGCTATTGGAACATTTAGTGACAGGAGTAGATTTGATTGAACACACAACGTTGTCAGGTTTAGAAGAAGTGGTGACGCCTGTTCTCTGGGATTATATTGTAAATGTTTTTTTTTTTTAAGGAGATGGCAGGATAGGAACAGAAGGAGGGAGATGAAGTAGAGTTTATTTAAGGAGAACAGAAATCTGAACTCCTTTTGTATTTATGTACGGCTGATACCCCATTTCATGGGTGCACACTCTATAGGTAAGGATGTACAGTCCAATATGAATGTTCAAAACGCACAATAGATTGACTGGGGAGGTGATTTCCCACAGCCAAAGTTCTGCAATAAGAGCTATGGTGTTAATATTTGTGTAAATTCTTTGGAATTGTAATCTGTGGGTGTCACGAGTAGGCTGATACCCCATTTAATTCTTGCACACTCCATAGGTAAGGCTATACAGTGCATATATGTATGGCCCCAATGCAATTATGTATTCTAATAAATCCACAGTGTGATTTGCAAAGTTTGTTTTACTGTTTATAGTCAAATAAGTTATATAACAACATTCCAACCAGCATTATCTAGTCCAGATATGTCATTTTTCCAGTATTTGTATCCGTTTGGATCAGTTTCAATGGGGGACTTTTATTTGAAGGCGAACCGCGTAGTCCAATATTGTGGCTCTCATCACACAGGCCTCTCTCTCCTTACTCACAAAAATGGCTGTTTGCACATCTACAAATATTTTTGTCATGCCAGGGTGCTAAAGCACTGCCAAAAGTCTGAGCGCCCGAAATTGACATGCGCAGGTGTACAGAGGCAATTATTGCTTACAAATATTAAGATACAAGTTTGCGAATGCGATTACAACTACAATTGTGCTTTTTTTCATGTTCACAACTCATCAGTTACACATTTGAGAATATGTTTACAACTACAGATTATTCTTTCATGTTCAGAACTCATCCACTACGCGCTTGCAAATTGTGTTTACAACAACAAATCTATTCTACATGCTCAAATCTTTACATCAGGGATTGACCATCATACAATTTCACCTCATTTCTATGGGGTTGTGTGCGTGTGCGTGTGCGTGTGTGTGTGTGTGCGTGGGAGGGAGAGAGTTATCTCCCCCCAAAACAGTGTGTATTTATGTACGGCTGATACCCCATTTCATGGGTGCACACTCTATAGGTAAGGATGTACAGTCCAATATGAATGTTCAAAACGCACAATAGATTGACTGGGGAGGTGATTTCCCACAGCCAAAGTTCTGCAATAAGAGCTATGGTGTTAATATTTGTGTAGATTCTTTGGAATTGTAATCTGTGGGTGTCACTCAGTAGGCTGATACCCCATTTCATTCTTGCACACTCCATAGGTAAGGCTATACAGTGCATATATGGTCCTCTGTAGCTCAGCTGGTAGAGCACGGTGCTTGTAACGCCAAGGTAGTGGGTTCGATCCCCGGGACCACCCATACACAAAAATGTATGCACGCATGACTGTAAGTCGCTTTGGATAAAAGCGTCTGCTAAATGGCATATTATTATTATATTATTATTGTATATGTATGGCCCCAATGCAATTATGTATTCTAATAAATCCACAGTATGATTTGCAAAGTTTGTTTTACTGTTTATAGTCAAATTAATTAATTATTGTATTTATTTTAAGTTATATAACAACATTCCAACCAGCATTATCTAGTCCAGATATGTCATTATTCCACTATTTGTATCCGTTTGGATCAGTTTCAATGGGGGACTTTAATTTGAAGGCGAACCGCGTAGTCCAATATTGTGGCTCTCTTCACACAGGCCTCTCTCTCCTTACTCAAAAAAAATGGCTGTTTGCACATCTACAAATATTTTTGTCATGCCAGGGTGCTAAAGCACTGCCAAAAGTCTGAGCGCCCGAAATTGACATGTGCAGGTGTACAGAGGCAATTATTGCTTACAAATATTAAGATACAAGTTTGCGAATGCGATTACAACTACAATTGTGCTTTTTTTCATGTTCACAACTCATCAGTTACACATTTGAGAATATGTTTACAACTACAGATTATTCTTTCATGTTCAAAACTCATCCACTACGCGCTTGCAAATTGTGTTTACAACAACAAATCTATTCTACATGCTCAAATCTTTACATCAGGGATTGACCATCATACAATTTCACCTCATTTCTATGGGGTTGTGTGCGTGTGTGTGTGTGTGTGTGTGTGTGTGTGTGTGTGTGTGTGTGTGCGAGAGAG